TAGTCTAAGAAAATTTGGGGTTGAGTAGTCTAAGAAAATCACATATATATATGTGATTCTAACTTACTTCTAACATTTTGACAATGTATTTGGTATGTAAAAATAATAACAGTAATAATAATACATCCTAGGTAAAATTTCAATAAGTTTCCTTTGTTAACACCCCCTTAATCCAGAACCTCTTTTAAACATTATTTATATACTATGTAATCCTATGCTACTGAAAACGTACTTTTACTGCTTCAATGAGGATTCCAAACTGATTTCTTATCCTCTTTATAGAATTTAAACTGAAATTTTCTTGAAAAATGGCAGAAAAACTTTCTTTCCTATTAGATTATTTCTCAATTACTCATGTAAATGGGAATTTCTGAGGTTTGAAAAAAAAATGAGGGCTCACTAAACCAGCAAATTTCAATCACAGAACAATTGTGCCTTCTGCTTAGAGATGGATCATACATCACATCAGGGACTCCTTTCTCCCGATTTGCACACAATATTTAATAATGCAATATAACTTGAGTGCTCACTGTCAAAGACGCTATCAAGGTCATCTACATCTTTCTAGCCATTCATCACCTTCTAAAAATATTACTTAACCTTTAGAGCTAGAAATTAGGGTAAATTTTAACCATAGTATAAAGGCCTTCAATCAACTATAACCAAATCATATTTTATTTAAATATTCAGCATTTATGATTAATTTAAAGGACACATGAGCTTGGTAGTAAAGTCAGGAAGAATAGTACCAGCCATGATTCTAAAGACCACCATATCTTCCCAGATTTACTCTCTTACTGCTTATTTACCTTAAATAAAATTCTTTTGTTTTCCTCTTACTTTGCCCTACTACTTTATGATGACTGTGTTACTGGATATTGCAATTTATTCCATAACTTAGAGAATATCAAGGGCTTATCATGAAACCAGAGGCAGAGTGGATGGAGTAACCGATCAGCAAATACATATTAGAGTCTATTTTTGTGCCAAGCAGTCTTCCAAGCACTTTACCTATATTAATTCATTTAATGTTTCTAAGAAGATACAGAATAGGTACTCACAAATAAAAAAATCAAGGTGGAAAAGACAGGTAAGTTGGTTGTCCAGGGTCAGAAAGCAAGGATATAATGGAGCTGGATGTTTCTCCCCAGGCATCTCTGGCTCCAAAGGCCTCCTCTTAATCACAGCGTTAAAGGGACCCTGATCAAATGTTGGGTTCAACTTTGTATGGAAGTAATTTCCCAAAGGTATCTCATTCCAAACACCATTGGATAGATTAGGTACTGAGGTCATGGCTTGACCGCTACAACATGGAATTGAACTACTCCTAATGAGACACCTTCCATAAATAATACACTTTCCTATTTTTTAAGGAAGAAACAATGAGCATATCATTTTATTTATAGAACAATTACATTATGTTGGGCAAAAATATTTGTCACTGTCCTCTAGTTTGACATTTAAATATCATCTAAGTGCATAATTTACTATTGGGCCAAAAAGGGTGAACTGTAGCAGATATTTTTCTTCAATCTGAATGCACCAATTCTTTGAACACTCTTCCTACATTTATGGAATTCGGTACCTAGGAGACCCCAAGTCCCTTTATAGAAATCAGATATAGAAGCTTCCACCAAAAACATACATTCATATCAAATTATTTTGAACTAATATCAAGTGATCCACAACAATGTGAATGTATTTAATGCCACAAAACTGTACACTTAAAAATGTTAAATTTTCTGTTATGTATATCTTATAACAATAAAAAATAATTTTTAAAGGCTAGTGATGTGCAAATGCAGGCCTTATACAGAAACAGCTTTGCTGAGAGTGACACGTGTACAGCATATCCTAGAGGAAACAGTGCAGAGGTTCCAGAAGTGGCCTCCAGAGCTCAGCATCCATCAGTTAGCTATGCAAATTTTAGGGTCAATTCCCAGAGTCACCACTGCATCAATTCAGGAACAGGATTTTGTACATTATTCCTACTGCATAGCCTCAAAATCTAGTCTTCTCAACCTTCTAGGAACCCATTGAGCTATATGCTATCTTTTTATACATTAATTTTCTGGTCAAACAAGTTTGTATAGTTTTCTGATATTTATAACAATGACTACTGATTGAAACAAGTGATAAGTTTAAGTACTACTGATGAATATTTGTTTGTGCTGGGCACTGCATTATGTCATTTAATGGTCATAGAAATAAAAAGGGATGCAAGTTCTGATTAACCTCTTTAACATTGAGGGAAATTAAGTTGAGTGGGTTTGTCCAAGGCCCACATGGCTAGGAATTGGTAGAACCAAGACTGGAACCTAGGTTTGCTTGATGCCATGTCGATGCTCTCAACTGTTCTCTAAAGGTTACTGATTGATAGTCTTACATTAACATAGTCCAGTGGTATGGCACCTTATAGACTTGAGAGGACTAATATCAGATTTTAAATTGATATTAACCAAACCTGAAGTCTGAAGAGTTGATTTGCGGATTTGGCTCATCTCTATCAGTGATCCATCCTTCCAGGCCCAAGATTATTCCTCTGTAAAATTGGAGCTTAAACTAAGGATCTCTACAGCTGTGTTATTCTATAGTTCCATCTCTCTAACTAGAAGTCTCTCTTCTTATCAGCTTAGTTATGAAGAAAATGTTCAAAAAACTATTAACCACAGATCTTGGATGCTGTCCTCACATCTTCTGCATCCTCCTCCTCTCTGCCTGGATAGTGATGTGCTGATTAAAAGTCCAAGGAACTTTTCCATGTGTGACCCAGATAATCCAAGGTCATGACGGCTTCAGAAAATGTTGTGGAACTGCTGGTTGAAAATCAATAGTACTTGTCCTGTATTCAGGGACATACACAAATAAGCACAAATCACTGAAGATGACATCTGGTCCTTTGATTTTGTAAGAGAAATGTCAAGGGGTTATATTTTTCTCAATGTCATCTCATAAAGGCAAGGTATTCCATGGGGGTAGGCTTTGGACCCAAGTATGAGTAAGGTCATTATTGTTGAATTCCAGGATTCTCCATGGGACTCAAGGTGTCATTATTGAAGCAGTGTTTTCTTAGCCCTCGAGCAACCAATCAATTAACCCATGCACCAGTTATTTTTGTCATTATGACTGCTGTATCAGTTCTAATATTACTCATACTTTCATCACCCACATTAGTTTTTAGGATCTATTGCCAGACTAGGAACTCCAAATTAGAGACTCTGTCATCTCATTGTAGTATTTGAAGATGGCTGAATATTAATAATAGTAAAAATACTAATACCTATACTATTTATTTAATCTGTTCCAGGGATTTGGAGAAAAGGTCTTTAGGCAGTATTACCTCCATAAGTATGGCACCCTTATGTGATAGGTGCTGTTATTAACATCTATATGGAAAAACTGAGGCCTATAGAGTGGTTTTCCCAAAGTAACATAGATAATATTGCAGGCATGCCTGACTTCAAGGCCTGTGTTCTTAATTTCTTATTGTTGAGATATTTATTCCCATTGAGAATCAGTCTGCCTACAAGATATATTAAGTAAATATCTGGCCTAGAAATTTTAACAGAATAGCTGAGCTCATCCTCAATCCATTACTGAAGTAAGTTTCTTTTTAGACTGAGTTTCAATAGTGGAAGACACTTGTGGATGTACCCAGATTGACTTGATAGTGGCAATGAGGCAAAACCAAAGAGCCTATGAGGACAGAAACAGTGATTTCATTTCAAGAGCAGTCACAGTGGCAAAGGTTGGATTAAGGACCAAAGGCAAGGTCACTTACTAGGCATCCAAAATGCAATATGCCAAGTGAAGAAAGAACTCATAAAATCACCATCAGTTAGCAACAACAACAGTAAAGTAGTTAGAAATTGGTCCTTATCAAAGAATTACAGTGGTTCAAATGAAAAGATAGCATTGTGGGCTTGAATCATGCTACTCACTGAGGTGTGACTGAAAAGGTAAGCTCAACAAAACTGGTGTAGAAGGAAGAGTCAGACTTCACAGTCAGATGAGAAAATAATTACAAGGATTGTTGCAATGTATAATAAGGAAAAAAGCTGTGATTCTAATGGGATGAATCCATTTTTTTTAACAAATACCTATAGTAGAGAAAGGCATATAAAACTTGCTAGATACTTCTATTAAACCTCATTCCACAAGCCTTGCTGAATAAGCAAACCCAGGCTGGGAGTGAGGGAGTGGGAAGGATGCAGTGAGGATACCACTTGCAGACACCACGGTCTGCTTGACACACTGCTATCAAAGCTCTCTTTGGTGATTGAACTGATGCATTCCAGGACTTAAACGAACACACCGAAACGTTTTCCTCATTGACTGCTGGTGTGGACACATGACAAAGGCTAATTGTCCTGCCTGTTGGATAGGACAATCTCATCCCTGCAAATGACAGCTCAAATCATGTTTTCCCCTCACCCCACTGTACCTGAAACCCAGGAAAGGAGGATCTGATAGGAGGATATCATCAAAGACAAGAGATTTAAATACACATACGTACATACGTACACACACACATTCACACCATATACCCTGAGTTCTTATCTGGAAATAGTCTTTTTTTTTTAAAGAAACCTTTGTAGACTGAGCAAAACAAATAGGATTAGACCTATGTATCTTTGCTTTTAGACATTTTTTTCCTAAAATATACATTCTCTGAATGTGGGAGAGGTGACTAGGAGCACTTGTGCTCACAACAAGAAACTGGCAATAAAAAATATTTTACAGAGACCAATGGGAGGAGCTTTCATTGTGCTTCCTGCCTTAGGGCTGGAGGAAGTAGCTGGGACCTTTTGGATGCTTGCTACCTGTTTATCTTTTCAGGGGGCCAATTAAACATGGAATGCAGAATCTGTGTGCCTCCAGCAGTGATCTTGGCCAGATTCTTGACTTGGGATGGAGTGAACTGTAGGAAGCCAAGCATTAGAGATTAGTTGGCAACCTGGCTGAAACATTGTTTCTCACCAATCAAATCGCAGCAGCATAGGAAAGCACTTCATCTCTACTCTTTTTATTTTTTCCTTGTGTACGGGCCATGCTAATCTTCTCTGTATTGGTCCAATTTTAGTATATGTGCCGCCAAAGTGAGCACTAGCTCTACTTTTTAAATTTGTTCAAATTAATTAACTTGTAATATTGTAGTACCAGAAAAAAATCTAACAATTCCTAACTCATATGGAAAATTTAATTTTGTTTAGCCTCTTATTTTTTTTCTCCTAACCCTCATCTCCCTATCTCAGACATATAACATATGCCACATTTTCACCACATTACTCTACACACATGAGAATCCCTTAGGACAAGTAGAGTATATAATTATATGAGTATAAGTATATATAATGATAATTTTTATAGCAAACAATTCTAAGTATCATTCAAAATGGATAATTTGATAAATGATGACTATATAGTTATATATATCAGATCTAGATGCATGAAACTTGGCTGTGTTAAACTTTATCTTCTAGAAACCTTGAGAAAACCATTTAATTTATATTTGCTTCAATTTATCTACCTGTAAGAAGATAATAATTTCAGATCCATTGTTGTGATATGATTAAATGAAACCATAAATCATTGTCAAGAAAACTATAACATGATGAAAATCATTGAGATAATGGTTACCATCTTCAGTTCTAGGGGCTCTGTAACCAATAGCGGTGGATTCACGTGAGGTCTGCTACCTTTTAGTTGTGCAAACTTTGTAAAGTCTTCAGACTTGAACATGAGCTGTCTCATTTGTAAAAAAGAGAATGGTAATAATATCTATCCTACAGAGTTGTTTTGTCAGGTTTAAGTCACATATGAATATTAAGCTGTTAACACAGTGTCTGGCCAGCAATTAGGACTTAATAAATTAACAGCCAGGGTCCCATTGGAGAATATATGGCTTACACAGTTTAGAGTAATTTAAGGAGCATTCAATAAAAGGATAATTTGCAAAGATATGCAGAAGACATTGGAAAACCACAAGAGATAGTGCAGGGCTATTACCATCACTATATGGGAAGGAGTGAAGATATGGAGTTATCTGACCCAGCAGAAGAGAGTAAGGAAGAGAAACCTGCCTTAAGAGGTGCTGAGAGGCCTGGCATGTGTTGCTCAGTGGTTAGAGTGTTGGCCCATACACCAAAGGTTCACAGGTTTGATTCCCAGTCAAGGGCATGTACCTGGGTTCCAGATTCAATCTCTGACACCAGTTGGGGCACTTGCAGGAAGCACCCAATTGATGTATTTCTCTCTCTCATCAATGTCTCTCTCTCTCTCTCTCTCTCTCTCTCTCTCTCTCTCTCTCTCTCTTTCTCCCTCCCTCGCTTCCTCCTTCCCTCCTTTCCAATCACTCTAAAAATCAATGAGAAAAATATCCTTGGGTTAGGGTTTTAAAAAAAAGGGGGAAGAAAAATAAGGGCTGAGAGCTTTGACAGAGGGACTCCTTAGCCCAAGGAGCTCTTGCATAGAATTCATTCTTTTCCCTCTCTTCAATATCTAGCTCTTTGTTCCATTGACCTACCCAAGTAGAATTTAGAAGGCAGGGAAGCCACTGATTTAATCCAGAATTCAGTTTTTGTTGTTGTTTTTTATAAAGAGACAAATAGTAAGTATTTCAGGCATTCAAGCCATAGGGTCTCTTGAAAATAGCCGTGTAAACAATGAGTGTAACTATGTTTCAGTAAAACTTTATTTACATAATCAGGCTATAGTTTTCCAGATGCCTGATGTAGTCCATACAAATCAGTTTCCGGGTGGAGAGAGGAGAAGACTGGAACATGGATCAGGAAGGACAGATGGAGGATATCAGCTCAAAGCCATGTTAGCCGTGTTAACTTTTGCTATGCTTGCTCTTAATATGAATGCCATTTAAACTATATATGAACTGAATATATTAGCATATTTTCTTCAGCTCTATAGTGGCTTGTGCTTAATCATGATGATCTTACACAGGTGTGCTACAGAAAGCTGCAAATAATCAAAGCTGTATATGTTCCATGAAGGCAGCGACTGCATCTTCTGCACAGCTGTAAATCTGGGCCTAGCTCAGTGTTCTGGTGTATCATAGGTATTCAGCAAGTGCTGAATAAATTAATGAATACCACAGGTATTAAATGTACTAGGAAAAATAAGGTCATCAATTTGCATAGAAGTGTAACATACACACAAAAAGTACACATTTTAAATATATGGGCTCAATAAATTTTGACCAAGTTGATACTTCCATTTAATCATCACTCATACTAGAAAAACAAAGTCATTTTCTGATATACGTATTGCAAATATCTCTGCCTACCCTGGCTTTTCGTTTTACTTTCTGAATGGTGTTTGCTGAAGATCAAAAGTTTATTCCAATATTGCCTGATTTATCAACTGTTCCTTTATAGTTTCCATTTAAGGCCTCTGTAAAAAATATTTTCATACTTTAATAACATTAGAATATTATCCTGTGATGACTTCTAGAAACTTTATTGTTTCTATAGTCTAAAGAAATGTACTTTAGAGAAATATGCTTTTGTGTATGTTGCAAAATAAATGTCAAGATTCGGGCTTTGTTTATGGGTATGGTATTGACCCAGAATCATTTATTGAAAAGACTACCTTTTTAGTCATTTCACAGAAGGAGACTGAGTAGGAGCTTAATAAGAATTATACATCTTAGAGGTAGTAATAAATATTGCTAAGAAGTAAAACAATATTAGGAGAGTTTCAGAGGCAAAATGAATCTGTGGTGATAGAGGATATGTGCTAGAGACAAGATTTGGAAGCTTGTTTTATTGCACAGGAGATAATAGATGTTACTAACTATAAAGCAAGGTTTAATAGATATATCCCTTGCAATGGTTTTATTTTTGTATTTTTAGCTATAACAAAATTAAGAGAAGGGAGAAACCAAGGAAGGCATTTTTAGATGGTATAAAAAATGTCTTTTGGTTGATCTCTTCCCCTTACCCCCACACTCCTCTACCTTCCCTCTGAGGTTTGATGGTCTGCCAAAGGACTTATATGCAAGTATATAGGCCCAACCAATGGACACAGACAACAGGAGGGTGAGGGCATGAGAGGGGGGGATGGGGGATAATGTGGGGATAAGGACACATATGTAATAACTTAATCAATTAAAAAATTAAAAATATATCTTTTGTTTTGTTTTGTTTCTTTTTTTTAAGCAAAATGGAAAAAATATAGGGCATACAATCCTATCTAATAATAGACAAACAGGGTAATTGACCGTACCTTCGCTATACCTCCCATCAGCTAATCAGCATGATATGCAAATTAACCGCCAACAAAGATGGTGGTTAATTTGCATATGTAGGCTCCAAGCGGTGGAGCAAAGACTGAAGGTGAGCCAGAGCCACGAAGATGGAAGGTGGCTCCAGCCGGGGCCACGAAGGTGGCTCCAGCCGGAGCGAAGGCCTGGGTCCTGGGTGCCGGAGGAAAACCAGTGCCGGCAGCCAGGAGAAGGGAAGGCCTATTGCATGAATCTCTTCATGCAACAGGCCTCTAGTATAAAATAAAGAGGAGAAGCAACAAGTATGGCATAGGGAAGTTGTTTTCAAACTGAAGCATGAATTACATATTTAGAGGGCTTAACATGCAGATTTCTGGGTTCCATCTCTAGGAGTGAGATTAGATAATTTGCATTTCTGACAAATTCCTAGGTATGCTGTTGTAGCTGATGCTGCTTGCCTGGGAACTATATTTTGAGAACCACTAGTATAGAGTAACCTTTGAAAGAATAGTAAAAGAATCTCTATATATAAAAGCCTAAGTGTTTATCCGACCATCCAACCAGTAGCTATGATGCGCACTGACCCCAGTGGGTAGAAACTCAATGCAGGAGCTGTCATAACACACACTGGCCATTTAAAAAGAAATGGCACTGTGGACCTGGTGCCGACAAACCAACACTTGGCTTCCCCCAAGTGGGACACAGGCCCTGCCACCACCCTAGAGCGACACCCCACCAAATTGCAGCCAACACTGCCAAGACCCCACGGCGCAAAATGTGGCCCACAGCCCAGCCCAGCCCAGCCCAGCCAGGAAATGGTCACTGTGGGCACTGGGTAATGACATCACATAGCAATGCCCAGCTTCCTCTCCCTAGCGACTAGCCTCTGTGGAGTTTCTTCAGCCCAGGAACATGACTTGCTTTATAGCCAGGTGCAAACATTTCACACTTTAACCAAATGTCTGTGAAGCATTTTCCCGTGCCTCATCTCATTTGATCCTCACAGAAGTACTGGAGTAGGTAGATAGGAGACTTGGTGGAATCCTATTTTCTTTTCATTAGCCAGAAAATGGAGATTTAGAAAGTTTAGAAACTTGACCCGACTGAAAAGAAGAAAGAAATGGTGGAACTTGAAAATGACTTCAGCTTTTCTCACTGTGTGGAATAGAGTCAAACACTGCTACAGTTAAATATTTTACTCTTTGTTCTCCCTGCGAGATCTACAATAATAATCTGCTTTGTGTTGATATTTATTGCTGTGTTGCTGACAATTACCTGAAAAAGAAGTTGGGGTGCTTCACTGGGCTGGACAAAGTTTAGCTAAATCAAAAAGCAGGTCTAATTAGGCAAGTTTATTCTATATCTATAAAAGACTAAGTCAGCAGTTCTCAACCTGTGGGTCGAGACCCCTTTGGCGGTCGAATGACCCTTTCACAGGGGTCGCCTAAGACCATCCTGCATATCAGATATTTACATTACATTCATAACAGTAGCAACATTACAGTTATGAAGTAGCAACAAAAATAATTTTATGGTTGGATCACAACATGAGGAACTGCATTTAAAGGGCCAGAAGGTTGAGAACCACTGGGCTAAGTTGACTCGCACATGTGGAATACCTATAAAGTTCTCACTGGTGCCAATCGCATGCATGTGTTTCAATCTGTCATTGTGGATTGTGAATTTGGTTGACACTTCTATTATAGAGAAAGGGTGAATAGTGATATTAAAATATTTTTTCTAATTAACTTCCTTTCAATGTGCACGAATCTGTGCACTGGGCCTCTAGCATGTAAATAACAGGTAATAGAGTGATGATATTGAACAGTGATTTAAAGAATAATTCAAATGCTTGCTTCAAAGAATTG